CGCCTGGCAGCCTATAAGTGGCTGGTGTGTTTCCTGCTCGAAGAGAGTCACAAAAGGCTGGAGCAGCAGAGGGCCTCAGGCAAGGATGAGTTTGAGGCTCGTAACAACAGCCAGGTAAGGCACCCTGACATACCATACTATAACAGTTCAACAGCTTTAAGTTTGTCCACTTTTAACTTTTAGTGGTGCCAGGCAGATCACTCTCCTGACATGAAAGATTTTATGTTACTCTCAGATCAACCCATAGTGAAAACCACAGACAACCCAAGACAAAAACCACATTCAAGATTCAAAGTGTTTACTGTCATGTGCACAGTATGGAAACGTGTTTCCCTGCACAATGAAATTCTTCATTTGCATAAAGTCATGGACAAAAAATTTGGCGCTCCTGCATTTCTGTCAGATAAGGCACCACTTCTCCCAGAAAATTGTTGGAATCGCAAATATTTTGGTATTCTCATGTTTATTATTCTCTCCTTGAATCACCACCTTAACATGGTGGAGAGGTTTGTGTGTTCCAATGATCCTGGGAGCTGTGTTGTGTGGGGTATTAGCCCCTGGTAGGGTCTCCCAAGGCAAATTGATCCAGGGGAGGGGCCAACTGTTGTACTTGGCAGCGACTTAATGTAGATCCCACTATAAGCCCTCTGCCTGTCTTCTCAGCCATTTAAATGTTTTGATATCATTTACCATTCAGATTCATTCAAAGATGTTGCATTTCATAATGCTTTTCTGACCTTCTCTATCCTCCCATCCTTTCCCCTTATTTACAATCCTCATCAGCTGCACTAAGAAATTGGAACTCAGCTACAGCTACACATCCATCAGTTGCACTCTTTTGATTTTTCATAATAATTCAATTGTACTCTTGTCATTGTGTCCATGCCATATGTTGTTTTTAACTTTTGTTATTGTGTATTTGGTGTTTCTTTTCATTTTTTGTTTGCTTTAATTCCTTTGTTGTCTTTAAGGTGTCCTTGGGTGTTTTGAAAAGTGTCGGCAAATAACAAATATTTTTATCATTATATGTCTTAAAAATACAATATGTAATTTGGACACCCAATTTATATACAGGGCAGCACAGTGGTGTAAGGGTTAGTGCTATTGCCTCATACCACCTGGGGCCTTTCTGGGTAGAGTTTGCATGTTCTCCATGTGCCTGTGTAGGTTTCCTCTGGCTACTCCAGCCTCCTGCCACAGTCCAAAGACTGCAGTGTAGGTAGCAGTGTTATCCACTACTTAGTTAAAGCTAAAGTTTGTATTACTTAAAAACTAAGCTAGCAGGTGCAGGAGACTCTAGAATCAAGCGCCTCCATTCCACCCAGCCCTCCCTCTCCCTGCTTGCTCTGTGCTTCACCCAGCCCATCATGAATGCCAAACTCTTCACAACCCAGTGATATACTGCAATCTGCCCAGGGTGCACCCGGCCTCTCCCCTAATTTTAGCTGGGATTGGGTCTGTTTTATAAACGGTATAAACAAAGAGCACCACTTAACCATGACATACACAGTTGGAATTAACTGTGTGGCTTGATAGGGGGTTGATGTTCCACTGGTTTGTCTCTTCACCTGAGTTTAACTAAAATAAAAGATATGCTGCACGTTCCCCGTGTACCTTGTCTTCAGGTTTACTACTGCCGTTCCCTGGCCATTGCCTACATCGAACACAGTTGCCTCCAGAGGTTTCATGAGCTAACTACGGATCACGACACACCAGCTGGTCTAAGACCAGTACTTAGCAAGCTGTGTGCCTTGTATGGACTGTGGAGCATCAGCAGCCACATGGTCACACTGTACCAGGGTATGTACTGTAAAAAGGCATTTTTTTTGACATATCCCATGTTCATATTTGTAACATCGCACTATTCCTTTGCAGGTAATTTCATGAGTGGAAGGAAGGCAGCAGAGTTGGTTCAGATGGCCATTCTCACTCTCTGCTCCCAGGTACAGGAATGTCTTTTTCTGTTGTCCTGTGTGCCTGTCATTTTCCTAATCCAAACAAATATTTTTCTTGTCATAAGTAAACATTGTAATTCAGTTACTTGTACATGTACAGTATGACCCCAGATATAAGATTAACTTGATCTGCTTTGTCTCATATCTCTCCTCCAGCTGAAAGATGATGCAGTAGCACTGGTAGATGTTTTCGCACCCCCTGATTTCATTCTCAACTCACCAATTGGTAATGCTGATGGACAGGTAAGACGTTCAAACACCAATTATGTCTCAGTATTTTTATTTTTTAATTTGTTGAATCACAGATTGGACATTAAAGAATGGGTTCAGGATTTCTCAAGTTGGTCTTATTACAATATTGACATGTCCATATGTACAAATGCAGCCACCCAGAATTGCGCTTTCCGCCTGAACGACTTACAGCTGGTGCGTAGCGGGCCTGCAGTTGCTGGCAACCTTCTAAAAGCATGTCAAAAAGACAAACCACAGCGTGACTGCCTGAAATACTGTATTCACCCTGCAGAGTCATGTTTTAGTTTACACAGTAAAATTGTCCATTCATAATCCTCATCATACAGATACTGTGCCAGATAATTGTTAGACTGGTTTTCACATTTCTAGCCAAAGATCTATTAAACATGGTTAACATGCATAAGTTAAGAAATAATAAATAGTAAAGTATGCTAGAATGAAGAAGATAACATTCAGATTACTAGATTATAGCCTACTTGTTCAGTCACCTTGCCTCTTACAAATTTCCTATGCTACTAAACAGCAAATGCAGATATGTTTTATAAGGATTGCACTTGACTGTTGGAATGTAGTCCAATGCAACATAATTTGTAAATGAATGAAAGGCTGCATTTTCCTACTGACAGAACATAAAGTTTGACTCCATCTTGAAATTTGCTATGGTGTCATTTTTCAGTTTTGCTCTTTCTTAACCAAGACTTGTGAGAGTCGTGTGCTGGAAGATCTGATGCTTTAGTGGAAAAATACACTGGCTGGGAACATTTTATTGATAATGTAACATCGACAAAGCTAAAGAGACATATTAAGCATAGGTGTAGTGCTGCCAGAATGCACCAGAACGACGTTCCACCACTTTTTTTTTTCTTCAAGAAAGGAAAAAGAATAGGCCTACTAACGTAATCTGGTTAAAATTCATAATGTTGCATTATTGTGAACACTTGAAGATCCAATCATCAGTAAAGTGCATGTCCTGCAAAATGGAATGCTCTAAATTGTGATAATAAACTTTAAGGTCTGGTGATTAATTGACAATATGGACTTAAACAATGTGCGCTCCTATGTGCTTTTGGCACCTGTGAGTGGTTGTGTGTTTTGTCCAGTCACATAGTTTAGTGCTGAAAACAGACAAGTGACAGAACCAAACTCAGATCATCCAGACTGTTAAACTAGAGTGTCGTCTCCAGTAGGGGTCATGGACGACAAATGTCCATTTTTCATATTTTTGGTGGAACCTGTCCCCCATGGAGATTAGGCCTTGGTTATGGCTATAACATTCAATCTGTGACAAATGGCTACTTATTCACAATGGTTCTCATTCACCAACATCTTTCTAAGTGTTTACTTAAATTTGTTCAAAAGTTGTTCTTAAGAAACATCCTAAGAAAAGTTTGTCTAATTTGTGAACACGTTGTTAAACTGCAGAATTGTTCACACCTGTGTTCTTATAATGATGAATCCCATGTGTTCCTAAGTTGAAAGCACATGCCAGTCATTCCTAATTAGAATAGGTTAACTCCCCACCAATGACCATAAAAGAACATGAGACTGCATGGACAGGTGCACACATCTAACACAGAAAGCTAAAGACCATGGAGCAACATGCTTTAAACCAAAGAAAAACTTGAGTAGTTATGAAGTGGAGAACGGCGAATGAGCTGCCATTTATAGTAGCATCAGTAGTGGATATAAAATAAAACAAAAAGATGCGTGGGATAGTGTTACTCATTCAGTGAACACTGTATAAGAGCACTTTGCTTTCAGAGTTTACTTGTGGTTCCTAGAGTCTACAGAAGTAGAATAGGAGGCAGAAACTTTAGTTATCAAGCTCCTCTCCTATGGAACCAACTCCCAGTCTCAGTTCAAGAGGCGGACACCCTCTCTACCTTTAAGATTAGACTTAAGACTTTCCCTTTTGATAAAGCTTATAGTTAGGGCTGGATCAGGTGGCCCTGAGCCTTCCCTTAGTTATGCTGCTATAGGCCTAGACTGCTGGGGGGTCCCATGCTCTGAGTTTCTCTCCTCTCCTCGCCTCATCTCGCATCTATATGCCAGCATTACATGTCAGTAACTTTGTGTCTCCTCTCTCTCGTAGTGTGTCCTCTCTCTCTCTCTCTCCCTCTACCTTTCTACAGGTTGCCCTGGCTCTGGAGCTGTACATCTCTGATGAGCAGTCACCGGCCACATCAACCTGCCTCATGTTTGATTGTTTGTTGTGTCTTGTTACTGTTCTTTCCTTTTCTCTCTATCCACCCACCCCAACCGGTCGAGACAGAAGGCCGCCCACCAAGAGCCGGGGTCTGTCAGAGGTTTCTTCCATTAAAGGGAATTTTTCCTCCCCACTGTCGCCAAGTGCTTGCTCAAGGGGGATTTGTTGGGTTTTCCTCTAATAATAGTGATAACAGTAAGCTCTAGACCTTACTCTGTAAAGTGTCCTGAGATGACTTTTGTTGTGATTTGGTGCTATACAAATAAAATTTGATTTGATTTGTATAAGGAGAAGGATGCACAACTGACAAATTAAAAACATGGTTTGTTCTCAAATCTGAGTCAACAAAAACACAGAAGAGAGACTCTGACAGGTGGAGGAGGACAGACTGGCCAAGAGTCCTCTAAACTGGACAAGCACACTGGGGCCATACAGGACTCTCTTGGGTGTGCTATCAGCTGAGCAGAACTCCATGTGTGCGCTTGGGTTTCTTCAGCTGCCCTGAGTCTGATCTCAGATGTAGTGCCAGACAACTAAATGCTTACATACTGACCAAAAGATCCATTGTATTTTTATAGGTGTATCAAGAGTGGAATAGTTGAGAAAAAACAAATAATCTGAAATGGGTAAGGACCTTTAAAAAAAAACAAAAAATTTAAATGTTCTTTCTGACTCATCTCCTTGTTTCTCCTCCACATAGCTTTACAAGAACCTGTGGTCGACAGTGATGCAGGGCAGCCAGGTGCTGGAGCGTCCCTCTTGGTGGAAAGAGTTCTGCTCAGACAAACCTGTGGTTGGATCCCTGCGTCCAAAACTCTAAAACCCAGAAACATTCTCAACTACAACCCTGGACATGTGTATGGAGTGTTAAGCATAAAATTTGCATTTAACTTTGCACCTGTAAGTGAAGGCACAAAATGATGATTATTCTAAGTACCAGAAATCCTATATACAGAGTGCCCAATCAAGTGTGGTTACTATGTAGGGAGTAATGATAGAGTATCATCAGACACAAACCTGGACACAATCAAGAACTTTGTCATTTTCAAAACCCCACATATTCCATACAAATTCAAGAATTCTGAATGAGCCCAACAATCCTTGAGCCCTGGACCAATGCTAAATTCCAGAGACCACTGTTGTAATGATTTGTTCACCAATCAGTTAGTCAATGGGCACGGTTCTTTTGGGCTCTCTGGTTTAAAGTTTCAAGCCTGTTTCAACTTTGACCTCACCCATCACCACTTTGGGCTGTTTTTTGTGATTTGAGATCTCAGCACAATTAGAACGATGGATACACCTAATAATCCCTCATAAACCATTAACACATGTAGAATCCATGAATCTATTGCTCCAGAATACTTCCACATTCTTTTTTAAATTGGATACTCTTTAATACTATGATTACCACATCAGATACGCTTGTAAACGAAATGTGACAAACCCTGTCAATATTTATGTTAAATCCTGTGCAAATGAATGGTTAAATATAGGCACATCTTGTCCTATGCATGGGCTTCTGAATGAACTACTAAACAAACATCCATACAGGAAACTGCTAGCAAACTTGCAGCTTTAGCAAATTAGCTACTTATGTGCTGTTGACAGAAAAGTCTACTGGCTAATCAAGTATCTAAGCAAATAATAGTTTAAGTCATATTCCAAGCACAATGCCGCTATAGTAATTGAACTAATATTTGTATAGCACTTTTATATGCATTGAAGCACACTCAGAGTGCTTTCACACTTTTTTGCCCATTCATCCATTTGCACTCCCAAACACACTGGTCAGCCATAACATTATGACCACCAGCATAATACTGTGTACACAGCAGTCAATGTGGTAGTTGGCTGCCACTCATGCCACTCTGCAGCTCACTGTGCATATTCTGTGAATCAGTTTGCTTCCATAATTATACTGTCAGGAAGAGCATACAGTATGTAAAAGGAAGTGAAAACTGGTTGTGACAACAAGTTAGAGATACTATTTTAGACAGATTCAACAGGTCAACCTCATCATCAGTGAGCCTTGGGCATCTATGTTGCCAATTTACTCTTTGTCCTTCCTTAGACCACTGTTGGTAGGCACTAACCACTGCAGACCAAGAACACCCACCAAGACCTGCAGTGTGGGAGATGCTCTGACCAAGTTGTCTCACCATCACAGTTTGACCCTTGGCAGGGTCACTCAGATCCTTATGCTTGCCTGTTTTTCCTGCTTCCACATCAATTGTTAGAACTGAATGTTCACTTGCTGCCTAATATACCCCACATACAGATAGTTGCCACGGTAACAAGATAATCACTTCACCTGTCAGTGGTCATAACGTTATAGCTGATCGGTGTATACACAGATGCAGTAGCCACCGGGAGCAACTTCGGATTCAGTGTTTTCCTCAAGATATAGACTGTATAAGCCAAGAATTGAACTGGCAGCCTTCCATTTTTGGAGAGGACCTGCTCTTCTTCCTGAGCCACAGCCAGTGCTAACAACACACTGTCTATCCTTATTTGTGAACTACAGTTATCAGCATGTATATATTAAAAAAGGGATACCATATTTAATGATGGTGATGGCAACACATTAATTCCAATTTGTATGATAGATAGACCAAAAAAGTCTTTCAGGCCTCTTCAGATTTCTTGGTTTTATGACCCATGGCGCATTAGAGTCCTTCTCAGGCAGAATTAATTTAATGATATGGCTTCTGTAAGACTTTTTATTGGACCTAATGGTTGAAGGTGTGATAATAGAGTCGTATCAGTGTTTTACAGCCGTTCCTCTTTTAATGATAGTGTATGGGAAGAAAGTTCTCTGGACCAGTAGTTATCATGAGATCTTACAATCCTGACTGTAGTCATTACACCAAAATAATTACAGCCTAGAGCAAGATCAAATTCATTTTGCTCAGGTGTCAATCATATATGTACATTGGTATTTAAGAGGCATTTCTGATATATCTTTAAATACCTTTGTCTTTTTTTTAATTATTAGAAAAATAACAATAAACATGCTAAAAACAATAAAATATTTGTGATTTCTGACTCCAAAAAAGGATTACTTGGGAAATCAGATGGACGGACTTTTAGTGTGAATAATTGGGAATTGATTTTACATGTACAGTATTGTTCAAAATAATAGCAGTACAATGTGACTAACCAGAATAATCCAGGTTTTTAGTATATTTTTATTGCTACATGGCAAACAAGTTACCAGTAGGTGCAGTAGATTCTCAGAAAGCAAACAAGACCCAGCATTCATGATATGCACGCTCTTAAGGCTGTGCAATTGGGCAATTAGTTGAAAGGGGTGTGTTCAAAAAAATAGCAGTGTGGCATTCAATCAGTGAGGTCATCAATTTTGTGAAATAACAGGTGTGAATCAGGTGGCCCCTATTTAAGGATGAAGCCAGCACTTGTTGAACATGCATTTGAAAGCATGAGGAAAATGGGTCGTTCAAGACATTGTTCAGAAGAACAGCGTACTTTGATTAAAAAGTTGATTGGAGAGGGGAAAACCTATAAAGAGGTGCAAAAAGTTATAGGCTGTTCAGCTAAAATGATCTCCAATGTCTTAAAATGGAGAGCAAAACCAGAGAGACGTGGAAGAAAACGGAAGACAACCATCAAAATGGATCGAAGAATAACCAGAATGGCAAAGGCCCAGCCAATGATCAGCTCCAGGATGATCAAAGACAGTCTGGAGTTACCTGTAAGTACTGTGACAGTTAGAAGACGTCTGTGTGAAGCTAATCTATTTTCAAGAATCCCCCGCAAAGTCCCTCTGTTAAAAAAAAGGCACGTGCAGAAGAGGTTACAATTTGCCAAAGAACACATCAACTGGCCTAAAGAGAAATGGAGGAACATTTTGTGGACTGATGAGAGTAAAATTGTTCTTTTTGGGTCCAAGGGCCACAGACAGTTTGTGAGACAACCCTCAAACTCTGAATTCAAGCCACAGTACACAGTGAAGACAGTGAAGCATGGTGGTGCAAGCATCATGATATGGGCATGTTTCTCCTACTATGGTGTTGGGCCTATTTATCGCATACCAGGGATCATGGATCAGTTTGCATATGTCAAAATACTTGAAGAGGTCATGTTGCCTTATGCTGAAGAGGACATGCCCTTGAAATGGTTGTTTCAACAAGACAATGACCCCAAACACACTAGTAAACGAGCAAAGTCTTGGTTCCAAACCAACAAAATTAATGTTATGGAGTGGCCAGCCCAATCCCCGGACTTTAATCCAATCGAGAACTTGTGGGGGGATATCAAAAATGCTGTTTCTGAAGCAAAACCAAGAAATGTAAATGAATTGTGGAATGTTGTTAAAGAATCATGGAGTGTAATAACAGCTGAAAGGTGCCACAAGTTGGTTGACTCCATGCCACACAGATGTGAAGCAGTTATAACAAACTGTGGTCATACAACTAAATATTAGTTTAGTGATTCACAGGATTGCTAAATCCTAGAAACAAAAACGTTTGTACAACATAGTTTTGTGTTTGTACAGTCAACGGCAGACACTGCTATTTTTTTGAACACACCCCTTTCAACTAATTGCCCAATTGCACAGCCTTAAGAGCGTGCATATCATGAATGCTGGGTCTTGTTTGCTTTCTGAGAATCTACTGCACCTACTGGTAACTTGTTTGCCATGTAGCAATAAAAAATATATTAAAAACCTGGATTATTCTGGTTAGTCACATTGTACTGCTATTATTTTGAACAATACTGTATATATTGATTAACAGTGTTGAGTAAGTTATAATTATCAGAATAAATGTAATTGTAATCAGTTACTGAGAAAAAATATGTAATTACATTACAGTTACTACCCAAAATGTTGATGATTACAGAGGGGTTACATCTAGGGACGCTGCCCCAAGAAAAAAATACATTTCTGTGCTCAAAATTTCTATTATACCACACACTATTTACAACTAGGGCTGTATCTGACTAAGGATTCTGTCAGTCAACTGTCAGTCAGCTACTCTGTGACTATTTGTTTTTTCTTTCTTTATATATAT